CATACAATAAAATTGGGAAAGGATGATATATAATCAAATACTTCTACTGAATAAAGTCGAAAGAACATAAAAACAGAGGTTCTACTCATACAGAAATGATGGATATAGTACATTACTTCAGATGTATAGAAGTTGGAATCATGGCATTGATACATATGCTATTAAGAAGTACAAGAAGTAAAAGGACACAGTATTAATTAAGTTATAATGAAAAGCACAAAACCTCTTGACATTTTTTAATTTTAAGTGCTTGCTAACTATTAGCATGCAAGATATTTCCCAAACTGAAAAAAAATAGAAAAAAATCACTTAAGTTTTGAATTATAAATCTGCCCCCAAATACCTGGTAATAGAGGTAAAAAGTTTTAGAAATTATTTTTAAGTTCAATTAAGTGGGGACAAAAATGCTTTGTAATTATAATACGAAGAAATATAGGACTTAAACATCTTAACACTGGATCTATGATGGAGAGGATACTTATGATAGGAGGATTGGTCTCTGAGTATATCAAAGTGAGTCTTCTACTTTGACAGTGCTCACTTAATATCTACCTTATTAGAGTATACTGAGTGTTAACTGTGTCATCTTCTCACTCATTCACAAAAACTTACAAATTGTCAAGTTTGTCCTTTGGTGTCACATTTCTCTTTACCTTTACTAATTTTGCTCAAAAAGTATTATTGTTTGGTCCAATATGATAAGACATGTTTAATCTAGTAGTATACTCATGCTCCTAACACACTTTCACATTTTGTGGAAGACTGCATGAAATTTCAAGTGAGAGGATACCTACTTCTCTAGCTTTTTGGAGCAAGCCACATACACCTTGCTACTATAAAAAAAAAGCAGGTAAAATGGATCTATAAATGTGATATTGATGGATATAACATGAAAAAACCTACTTGCATGATTTATTGAGAAAACATACCAAATTGGATGTAATTTGTACATATTTCCAAACTTGTTCTAGTTTAAGCTTTTTTTGTTATTGTTATGCTATCGTAGTCTCAATTAGTGATGAATCACTGAATCATTAGAATGGTGACCAACTTCACTACAAATGTGCACACACACATGTATATGCATACATGACTGTTTTGAAAAATAATTTTACATTTAAATAGCGTCCATTATTCTTGGCTGATCTTTAAAATCTTCATTTTTAATCAAAACATGAAGAATTATAAAAAAAAAACAGGAATGATAATAATTCAACCATCACAGTACTCTTTTTAAGAATAAAATTCTTGGGGTGCCTGGTTGATTCAGTCAGTTGAGCATCTGACTTTAGCTCAGGTCATGATCTCACAGTTCATGAGTTCGAGCCCCACATCAAGCTCTGTGTTGACAGCTCAGAGTCTGGACCCTGCTTAGATCTGTGTCTCCCTCTCTCTCTGCCCCTCCCCCGCTCATGCTCTGTCCCTCAATAATAAATAAACATTAAAATAAAATAAAATAAAACAGGTGTTTCTTTAAAAGAAAAGAATAAGATTCTTATAAATTATTGTAGTGAAAAAAAAATCCTAGCTGTGCTGAACTGACAGTATATTATTGTTTAAGTGATTCACTGGTCAGCAGTATTCTGGCAGAAGAGTTTATGTTCATCAGAATAGTGGGCAAAGTTTGATGGGAACAGATGAACCAGAAAATTTTTTTTGATTTACTTGTTCACATTGCTTCCAAGATTTGAAGAACTAAATGTAATTAAACCTCATAATGATTTATTGAAGAAGGTTATATTTTGCAGGGTCATGCAAATTTTGGACTATATTGTACAGCCACTCCATCATCCAGGCCTTTGATAATAGCATTACTATATGCAGGCACTATTCTCTCTCTCCTCTCTTTCTTCTTTTTTTCTATATGCGTGTGTCTACATATGTATACATATATACACACACATTCATTTCTGTACATATATATTTATATGTATACATAAATATATATTCATTAAATCTTTCAAACTTTATATATGGGTTAGGTAATATTTTTAACAGTAGAAAAAAGTGAGCCTGTAGAGACTAGGTAGATTGTTCAAAGCAATGGAGTAAATGGCTTCAAATTCAGCTAGTTTCACTCAGAGCCTGGACTCTTAACACTACTTATCTGCCAATGGTAGAAATGATTTTTTTTTAAGTCTAGCATTCTGCTTTTAAAAGTAGATTTTAAAAATCAGAATAATCGAGTCAGAGCCAGTTACTTTGTTCCTGGGTATGGTGACAAACACTGGCTACTAATAATGCAGCATGTCCAAGGAAGGGCAAAACAGAGCCAAATCTCTCTCTCTCTCTCTCTCTCTCTCTCTCTCTCTCTCTCTCTCTCATAATGGGGAGGAGTTTTACAGCTCATGAAAAGTAAGAGGAGATAATTATTCACTTCTTAGAGGATTCTAATGTTTTGCTCCAAGGGAAATGTGTGCTACTGACAGAAAGAACAGGTGTATTTTTACAAGTAACTCACATTTACTGGCATGGGTCTCAACAGGGATTGGTGCACCCATGTTCTTTCTCTGCACTAGGCTACAGTACCTAAGGAGAACATGAAAAGATGCTCACTATATCCTGACGGACTACTGGAATTTTCAAAACTCACAAAAGAATCAGGGGGAAAACAAATTTCCTATGAGGAGATTAAGATGTTTCTTAAGGCGGGCTGGGTGGTCCTCAGACTGACTCTCTTGAGAGAGACTGCAATGGATTTGGAGGAACTGGAAGAGAAAAAGGCAAGTCATGTTCTAAGCAAGGATACACACAGGACACCTGTCCTCAAAAGTCTGTGTTTTCCTTTATGCATCTCGAGGAGAAGTTTACATTTGTGTGTAAATTTTTAGTTCTCCTATATTGTGATACTGGGAGACTCTTGAAATTTGTCAAGGTTTCATGTAAACATCCTGCATCCTCATTACATCTTAGAGTGTTTGGTCTGGCAGTGACTGATGGACAAGCATGCCACTGAATCTCCTTGTAAGCTTTGGCAAAATGAGCTGGGAGGCTGATGGCTCTTTTCAGTGGACTAGGACATGGTACCAGTCACCTTCAGGTGAAAAACCCATTTCTTTGGAAATGCTAGAGAAATCACAGACTCACAAAAGTGAGTAAATACTTTGGGACTGCTGCCTACCCCTACCCCTACCCCACCCACACACAACATAGGCAGCAGTGAGGCTCCTATGACATGAAGACATAAAGAAGAATGTTCTTGTTACACCCAATCCATTAAACAAATAATGTTCTTATACAGCACACATTTCCATTTGTTTGGAGTGGCTTATATGCATCGTTTATACAGTCTAGCACTCTCTCAAAGTCACCCTGAGCTCTGTGCTTCTAATACTATTCATTAACTTGCCCAGTATTGTCAGACCAACAAAAAATCAGAAGTTATCATCCTATGCTCTTGATAACCTTTTATCATGGTCTTGCAGGTTGATTTAGTAGATCTAAAGTGACTACCCTTTTCCAAAGAATAATTCTGGAACATTCATCATTTTCACGCTAATTTAATATTTCACTTTTATTATATATTGGTGATTGGAAGAGGTGATGAAGAGTAGTATTATAGCTGAGAAAAATCACAACCAACAGAAAGGGGGAACTACCCCCCAAAGTTCTTCCCAACGGAGGAAGCTATCTTTATTTGTATAAATAATGAAATTACTCTCTTCCTATCCAAAATCTTATCTTGTGGCTTTCATGAATGGAATTGGAAATGAAGAAACTAGCAGTACACATTGTTAGTAATTTTTATGAAGGTATATGTGTGCGTATTTGGTGAGGAGGTGCAAAATGGGAAACACATTGATAGAGTGAATATGTCATGACACTGATCGGTCAACACAACAAGACTAAAAAAAAATTGCATTTACCTTATTTCTGTTGCAATTATTTTCACCAGAACAGTCACTGAAATAGTAGAGACAATCATCTAAGGACTCGCCTCCACTTTAACTCTAGTTTGTCTTCCTGCTAGAAGTCTCCAGCAGAAGCCTCCTAGCTGACAAATTACAATTCATGTTACAGAGTTCATGTCCGGAGTTATCCTTGTTATACCTGACTCAAAAATCAACCTGCCATCTACGACATAATAAAAATTAAATGTCTCTTAATCACAGAACTAACTAGCAAGATACAGACATAATTATATATTGAAATTGTCTAGGCTCTGCTAATTCTAATATTGAGATATTTCAAAAGAAAAAACAATGTCACGTTATATCTCCAATTCATTAATAAGCATGTTTTTTAACCCACTATTCTTCACGCTGTATTAACATGTGACAGGGGTCAAGATTACATTAAATTATAGAAAAATTACTATAATTAACAGTGCCATTTGACAGCTTTATAGGTAACTGCTGTTCTTTAATTTGCTCTGAATAAGTTCTACTTTTCACTCTACTTCAGTGCTTTTTTACTCAGAATTTTTGGAACTAGAAAACATAATTTTTCCCAAAATAAAAATAATAATAATAATAATAAAATATAATATGGTTTCATTTAGTTTCTTTTTCAGACTGCATTATCTTGTTAAAGTAATAATAGAAGAGAAAGATTATGAACAATGGATAAAAAATTTCCTTGATTGTAAACAGAGAAAATTATTTGTTTGTTTATTTTCTCCCCTTGCTCAAAGCTTATTCTCCACTTACATGACTTTTGGCCACCATTTAACTTCCTGATTTCAGAAGCGGATCTAATGGAGAATTTTGTTTTGTCATTGGACACAAATCAAAAGCTCTTTATCACTAAAACCCCTAAATGTTCATGACTTAAGCCTCCCATACCCTTCTTCCCTCCCTCCCTTCTTTCTTCCTTCCTTCCTTCCTTCCTTCCTTCCTTCCTTCCTTCCTTCCTTCCTTCCTCTCTTTCTGTCTCTTTGTCTTTCTTTTTTCTTCTACTTTCTCTTTAGAGAGATATACTTTGCCCCCATCTAATGTGTATGACAATAAGTCCATGACCAAAGAGAAAATTATTTAAAAGAACCAGAACTCTCTTCCAACATGGCTCAAGATAACTCTCCAAACAAGACCATAGCAATGAATCATAGACACAGCCACACCAAATTCACAGAAGATCAATTGAAAATCCTCATCAAAGCATTTGACCAAAATCTTTACCCAGGTTATGCTATCAAACAAAAACTTGCTTTAGAAGTCAACACTGAAGAGTCTAAAATCCCGATTTGGTTTCGGAATTGAAGAGCTAGGTATCAGGGCCAGAAAAAATCAGAACCCGATAAGGAGTTAGAATTAAGCCAAGACCAAGATCATCCTGAAAAGGACATTCAAAGTAGAGAAGACAGATGGTGCTGTACCTGCTATAGAAACCAATTAACTCGAAATTCAACCTTGAAAAGTTAAACCATTACATTGATTAACATACTTGCTTAGCTGGCTTTATGCATGTAGACTTTAGCAACTGTCCTAATAAAAAGAAGCTTCATTCTGGAGTTGGGGCTTCATTCTGACTCGAGTATGAGGACCTTCACTTAACTGCATTTTGTTTGCAGACTCATCTTTTGCGACTCCAACTCTGGCCATATACTCTGCAACAGTACCAGCTATACTTCCACACAATTACACAACCTCATTGAGGCATTTATGAACAACCCATATCCTGGCATTGATTCCAGAGAGCAACTGCTAAGGAAATTGGCATTCCTGAATCAAGAGTCCAAATTTGTTTTCAAAATCAGAGATCCAGATTCCGTGTCCAGAGAAAAAGAGAACCTGATGATGAAGACTTAGAACAGAGACAAGACCAGGAACAGGATCTCTGAGATGAGAGAGTTCAAGGCATAGAAGCTACAGAAAATGGCACCAATATTATTATTGGTTGTCTTATTTCTCCAGAGCCAGAGCAAGACGGACAGACAGTGACATGCAATGTATTTTATATCTTCGGCCTGGACTCTAAATCTCTCTCGCTCATCTTGGAAACGTGTTTTTCTGAACACATCTTCAGATTTTCCAGAGATGAGCCTACTGGAGACACTAAACAGGACTTCAGAAGGCAGAGACAGGAACATGGTGCCAGACAGCCCGATGGACTGATCCTGGACCGAGAGTTCAGCAGATCTCAAGGACAATGAAATTAAACAATATCATTTTTCAGTCATCATAGTAATTGTCATTTAAAAAATAAAAGATTTTATTTTTAAGTAATCTCTATACCCTATGTGGGCCTTGAACTCACAACCCCAAGACCAAGAGTTGCATGCTTCACTGAGCCAGTCAGGCACCACAACTGTGCTTTTTAATAAGAAACATTGACTTGGTCTTCATCCCAGTTTTCAAGCACAGAGCTTCTAAACTTTGGAGTTTCCTATGATGAGAGAAATTAGACGATTGGCACTTTCAGTCCTTCCTCCTGGACCTTCAGGAAGGAGGGAGGGGCTGAAGGTTGAATCAGTTGCTAATGGCCAATGATGTATTTATTTTTTTTTATTGTCATTCCAGTATAGTTAATAAACACTGTTATGTTAGTTTCAGGTGTACGATACAGTGATTCAACAATTCTGAATATTATTCAGTGCTTATCATGATAAGTGTGCTGTTAATCCCCATCACCT